CATGCGAGAGCGAGTAGGTACTATTACAGTGTCTATGGGAACTCTGGCCAGACTTCAGAGAACCCATCGAAGAAAATCCTTATCATCTTCTACCTCCGTGATCCTAGCTGCTTCGACAGCTGGTTCCGGTTCTGCCTCCTTTTCCTTTCCCTTCACGTCGTAGCTGGCGATGAAAGCACGGACTGCTTCGTATCTCGCCTTGCTGTCGTCGGAGATGTCTGAGGCCGTGTTTGAAGAAATTGCCCTTGTTGCTTGGCCCCGCTTTGGCATTTCGAACTTGCCTTTGTACTTGGGGTCTGGGCATCGCTGTTTAAAAATGAAGGGGTGTTTCCCACATCGTACACACAGCTTCTTCTCCAGCCATCCTTCTTGTTCCTTGGTGAGGGTGGATACTCTATTCACGACCATTGCATTGGGGTCTTTCGAGGCCTGTGGTGCCGATGATGATGTCGTTGTTACCATTCCACGCTGTCCTGCCTTATCGGCCCTGAACTTGGACTCTAATTGAAGGCATAGGTCGAGATATTCTGGCCATGTGATGGGATCAGAAATTCCTAGACTGTCTCGTGTGACCATTGCCTGGTGTACGTCCTTGCTTCGATGTTCAGCGATGTAGCCGATGAGTGCAGTGTGCCTAAGTTGGTCTTAGTGGCCCATTGGCGGAACTGTTCTGCAAAGGATACCATCGTGGGATACATCTTGCCACAGATATCCTTCAGATGCTGCTGCGCATCCTTGTCCAGGTCGAGGGTTCTGTAGTTCACTTTGAGAATGTTGATGAAGTCTTCCCATGTGCCAAGTGCCTGCCGTGCTGCTGCTCTGGTTGCATATTCGGACATGTATGTGAACGTGCCACCTTCCAAATGCAGCAGGGCCATGGTGATCTTGTGCTCGTCGTCATTGATCTCATTCTACCGCATCCATATACCGAGTTGTTGGAGCCAATCCTCCAGACTTCCTTTGCCCGAGTAGTGTGGAGGCTCAGCAATTTTGATGCGGGGTTTGTGCGATTGAACCATGCCGGACGTTTGACCTTGCATCACAGTGACGCCGCTTGCTTTGAGCGAAGCTAGCCCATGTCGCAGCTTGACGTTAGCTGCCTTGATTTCCATCATTTCTTTTCCTATGTCGAGCATTGCTGCCTGGGTCCCTGTGAGCTCGTCGTTCAAAACTATCACATGCGCATCTTGTGCGAGGATCTTATCCTTGAGCTTCCCGATCTCCGTCTGGAGAAGTGCCTCCTTGAGTCGGTGTTCGCTCTTGTTGTTTTGGATAGTTGATTCAAAGGCTTTCTTGTGCTCGTACATCTTGTTCCCGAGCACATTGTAGACCTTGGCAATCTCAGTGGTGATCGTGAGCTTCATTGCGATGATTACCCATTCACGTATGTGGTCCGGGACTTCTCCGGGAGCGGACTGTCTGAGAGCATCTTCTAGGTGCTCGAATTGGTGTCCATCGAACTCCCAGAGGGGTGGGACATAGGCTGGTACAAGTGATGGTGTCGGGGATGCTGGTCCTCCGACTTGCGATACGGAGTCCTGCGGTCCTAGCGCAGGTTCTGGTGAATTGCGCTGCGAGGCGCGTGGGGTACTTCCGTCGTGTGCTGACTCGACATTTGTATGAAGAATGTCATCCATTTGTTGCCTGAACGTGGATGCATGTGCACGATCAGCTGACTCCATTGTGATATAGGTAAACTAATACAAAAAGTGCAAATATCTCGCTTTCGAGATGAAGACCAGAGCCTTGACGATTTCCTGCAGCCTCTCTTCCTTTCCTATCTGCTTGAAACTGATTCCTCCTATCTCCAGACAGACTTTGTTAATAACCTGCTTCTCGATGAATGTGTATGTGCGTGTCCCTGTGTGTAGGTCGGCGCAGACTTTGTCAAGCTCTGTGGCGAGGCTAAAGATGGGTCCTTGGTGCTCGTCCTTGAGACAATATGAGAACGCTCCTAGTATGGGTTGGAGCCTGAAGCGGGTAGCATCTACCTGCTTTGTAAGGGTTTCGATGTGGATCGTCGGCCTGACTCTGGAAGGAAGTGGGCGGATGGGACGTGTGATGGTGTTTGTCTTTATGAAGTTGGGTAGGGGACGAGTTGGAATGCTTGTTGGTTTTCTGACACTTGTAGTGGGCGTCGAGGTCGCTCCTAGGGGTGGCCTTGCACTTTGAGGCTTTGGGCAGCTCAGAGTCTTGCTGAGGCTCACGCCGGATAGAGATCGGATTGGAATATGTGTCAAAAAAGCCGCATGCTACGGCTGAAACTGCTTGCACTGAAAATATGCGGCCACTTGTGTTAGACACTAAGCAGGGGCGCAGAAAATGTCAGATTGTTTCTAATGTCACGGTAACACTGGACAAGAGATCAAAAAGACTAAAAGGGACAGTCACGTGGAACGTGCCGCCCTGATCCCCCTGATCCCAAGTAATCCCCCTGAACCCTTAAGTGGCGCAAGAGCCTGCTGACTTACTAGTCGATGTGGCGAACGCAAGCAAGGGATAGAGATATATGAAGGAGCTTGTGAGCTCAGTGAGTGCTATTGGTAGTAGACGAGGAGAAACAATCTGAGGTTTCGTCCCCTACATGACTGGTCTTATATACACATACAGCGGGCTATCTTACCTAAGCTACC